AAAAAGAATTTAGAACAATTCTAACTGCAATTTTGTAGTGAGGATAGATAGTACTTTCGATGATAGGAATATAAAAGAAATCTATTTTTCGAGCCCAGATCGAGTGGCACGCTGATACAGAGACGCCCTCTTAATAGCTAACATACTGACTGACCGACCGACCGATGGACTCGGGCTTGCTAACTGACTGGATGGTTGATCGGACTGCACCGACTGGATGACGGACTGAATGATCAATCGACCGACCGACTGAGTGAATGCACAATCATTTACCTGAAAGAAATGAACTGTTGCTCCACGCTCGAATACTTCCTACGTATTTCTTTGCATGTTCTTTGGCATCTCCCTTCTCTTTATTCCATTTTTCCTTATATGGACAAGGCACGACTTTTGTTTCTATGGAAACCAACTCAAGACCTGCTTTGACAACAGGCGAGTCAGGACACTTGAATGGCTTCTTGAACTCATCTACCCTTCTGAAGTAAGAGATAATATTTGTTTTGGTAACCTCGTCTTGTAAGAACGAAAGAGTTTGGAAACGATTAGTTAATAGGCCACTTTAGAAACCCGCAAGAGACTGGACCTAATTTAATTTTAATCTAATTAGCAAAAGAGTTTTGTCATCTGATGAAGTATCTCAATATTAGTAATTATGTGAAATTTGAATGCGTTTCTTTAAAAAGAACCAGAGTTAAAGCCTTCAAAACTGTGAACAATTTACGAGGATTTTCCACATACAACCAACCCAACCAACCACTCGAACAATTAATGAAAGGTAAGTCTTCTTCTGAAGTCCCGAAGACCTTCCATCATACTCACCTTAGTGATAATTCCCTCATCTGAAAGTGATTTCCAAAGTGTTGATAGAACTGTTTCACAACAATGTTTGGCATCTTTCGTGTGTCCTGTAAACTGGTCATTCTCATCCACAGCTAACTCCGCCAGGACCATACTGCCTCCTTAAGAGAAAATATCAGACACTATTTATATTGATCCCATTACGATTCCAGCAATATCCTGGACAGTTATTTTTAGAACAATCTTGCGAAAGAAACTAAAACAGCTTTTATAACAACAGAAAGCACAAACAAGGTCCTTTTGTAAACTTAAGTAAGGAATGTATATGGGATTCGTATACCGTATAAAGTATATAGAGAGTATTTTAAGTCGTAAGCTCGCTAATGATTTTTGCACGTATGTTCTTCCTGCTGTTTCTCGTTTCTGTACGCGATCTGCAGTCATACCAATCTATTATTCATATTAATAGTTTTACTCAGATGGACGGCTAGTGCTTTTCAGTCGGACATATCGCGACCTGAGTTAACAGACGTCTTACCTGGTCTAAGTTCGGCCGCTCTTCTCGTTAGGTGTAATTCCCAGTCCTTTTCGGCTTGTGCTCGAAACTTCTCTTTTTCCTCTGGTGCAGTAATGAATAGGTGAAATGTAGTTCCAGTCATGTCACAAGTCTTGTCACGCAACCACTGTACACAATTAGAAGAGAACCCCAATGTCACGCTATCTTTGGGGAAACACTGATCGTAGAAATTTGTACCGCTGGCCATGACGAACACGTTTGGGAAGTCCAGGAGATAGCTGCGAGGACCAGGAATCAAACCTTGGATAAAACAACCCCAAGTACATATTTGATCAGGTGTATATATATTATAATATTGAGATACAAATACACTCGTCAATTGACGGTCATATGATTAACACAACAAGTCCCATCCATGCTACCAAGTTTCGTTAATGATAGCATGCTTCGTTAAGGCGTTATGGCAGAAGCTATAATCCAATCACATAGAAATTTAAATGGAAGCCTAATTTGAATTTTACAAGTTCTGCTTTATTTCTGTAAGCTTCAAAACAATCTTCAAATCAAATTTCAAAAAATAAATTTCATCTTTCAACCTTGGTAGGAACGCCTAAGCTGAGCTGCGCTGGTTTGACTTAATACTTTTACCTTGTGTTCTCAAGAAAACAGACGTGAAATCATTGACGGGTTGATCCTCGTAGATCACATTGATCGGTAGTTCAGCTCCATATTTTTCTCGTATTGCTTTGAAGCATGCGTAGATAAGATCCATCGAAATTCCACCATCAGCCGTCCCATAATCCACTAGGGTCACCACAGACTGTTTTTCTAGGGCCATAGCATCAAGTTCTCTTAGAGCCAAAGGGGTTGCTGTTTTAACCACTTGACGATTAGCAATGCTACGAGTTGAATAAAACCCAGAACCAACTTCACCGTACGGGAGATGACTATGAGGGACCTGGAATGAATCATAATCATTATGTTAAGGCCGGTTTAGACGGTACGGTTTTCGCCTACAACTATAGTATACAACACGCTCGCGTCTGTCGTAGGCGAGTTGTAGGCTTGATTTACACGCTACGACTCGAGCTGTAGGATGGCGCGAGCGTGTTGTATACGATAGTTGTAGGTAAAAATCGTACCGTCTAAACCGGCCTTTACAGCATCTAGATGTAGTGGTAGTGGTAGTGGTAGTGGTAGTGGTAGTGGTAGTGGTAGTGGTAGTGGTAGTGGTAGTGGTAGTGGTAGTGGTAGTGGTAGTGGTAGTGGTAGTGGTAGTGGTATAGCGGGGCTTTATGAACTTACATATTAATACCTTTTTTATATATACCGAGAGTGAAAACCATCCCCTTTTCCGGTATTGCGAAAAGTAGATACCCTTTTCCATAGAGGAGAGAGCGTGATTTAATATACCCTGTCCCAGAGAGAGCGCGATTTTATATACCCTGTTCCAGAGTAGAATCGCTGAAAATCATACCGTGTTTGGCAGCACGTACCCGTATAGCGAATATAGGGGAGTAACCCCCCTCTCCGGGAAATTAACTCTCATAATATTATTTTGATATCATATAGTGGGATGTAGATAAGTAGGTAGAGTGGGTTGGTGGGTGTGTGGGTAGACCTTAATATATCTATATGTACATAATGTATGTATAATATATGTATAATAACAATGGCTTTATAAACGCTTTAAATTAATGAATAACGGGTTATATCGGTGCGAGGTTTCGTATATATCTTTAGCTTATTAAGGGGCCTAGCCTTCTTGAAGCTCTTTGTATATATTTTTGTTAACTCAATTGAGAAATTTAGAAAGCACATGTAAATCGTGGCGTCATCCTCAGAAAGGTCAGGTAGCATGAGGTTCTCTCACAATTCACTCAAAATTACTCCCTTAGATGCAGTCTTTTAAAAGGCTTTTCGCTTTTTTTCTTCTTTGGTATTGCGCTAAGGCATGGATGCAAAATCATGTAAAACAAATTCAACTGTTTCAAAACACCGCTTGATTTCCTGAAAGGGTGGGTTTTGTTTCTTGATCTTGCTAACCTTTCCTTGGCTTTCACTATTCATGGGGAGGGAAACATTATAGGTAACAGACACTCCAGAACGTCTCTGTCAACTGTTTCAAAACACCGCCTGATTTCCTGATAGGGTGGATTTTGTTTCTTGATCTTGCTAACCTTTCCTTGGCTTTCACTGTTCATGGGGAGGGAAACATTATATTTAACAGACACTCCAGAACGTTTGCGTAGGAGACTAGGCTTTCACCAACGTCATTGAAAGTTTCCCCAGGGTTTTATATAAAGAAACGAACTTCCACAGGCCAAAAGAGAAAGTAAAACTATATAAAGGCCCGTTTACACTAGCGAATTTTGCAGTGCGATTCTCGCCGCGACCGAGTTGCATGCTAAATTCACACGTGTAAATGGCCTGCGATTCTGGCGGCGATAATCGCAGCGAATTCGAACATGGTCGAAATTATCGAGGCGATTTTTCACAAAAGTACCAAAATCTTCTCTCTCCACCCCACTCGAGCTGAATTTTGCACTGTTTTGTAAACATGGAGGAGGAGACGATGAAAATATTCTTCCTATAGGTAATCCCACATTTTAAAATATGAAGTATCTGTTGTTTGAGAGACTTCCAGAACGAAGAAAATTGCTCTCAGGCTTTGATTAGATGCTGGAGAAATAATGAAATCGAAGAAATTTATTCGACAGGAAATAATTATTGTTCATCTCAGCAATATATAGCGGATTGCCGAATAAAGCAATTTCGCGACAACTGAAAATTTCTAGTGGGGGAGTCCAGAAAATACTCCAACATTATCGACGACATGGAACTGTGTCTCCATTTCGCTGAAGGCGGGAACGTTAACGTTCCCTAAAAAATTATTGATGATATCCTCCAAGTAATTGAGGCATGGAAATTACAAAACCTAGTGTGTATGCTTATGAAATAAGAGAGCGACTTCTGCTCGAAGGTATCTGTAATTTAGATGATTTACCTTTTTCATCACGAGTCAAATAATGAACTGAATTTTCATTTGAATATTGCAATATTGCATTATTCCGGTTCATACGTATAAAAGGAATAATTGACTAATGATTTCATTAATCGAATCTAGGGGTCAACGCTTGAGCTTGTTTGACTGTAAATCTATTACAACCAAACAACGATAATACAAAATTATTTTGRTAAGACTTTTCTTACAGTGGTGTCAACAGAATATATTGGATAAACAGTTTTGTATAGAGAATATATAGTTTTTAGATTTTAGTTTTTTGATAACGTCACGTGAATTCCCCGACGAGCTATTTCTTAAGTCTGGTCCTCACTAGGGACATTAGCATACTAGAATAACATATTAAGCATATGGATCAAAACGTTTCGTTCTTCTTATGCTTGTGCTTATGCTTATGTCACTGAATTTCTCAGTGAGGACGTACACTCTTATGCTTCTGCTTGTGCTTATGTCATGGCTAGTGAAGACCAGACTTAAAGCCGTGCAGGGTTAGTTTAGAGAGTATTCAAGTCATCGTCTGAATTTAACCCTATATTCAGTATATGTCATACTTACAAATGCCTTTTTTTCTTCCATTTTCAGTTTCACTCCTCATAAAACAGCAAAACACGGGTATTACATGTAAATGGAAGGTTTGAAGTCAGAAGACGGGGCTTTATATGGACACTAGAAAAAAACGTTTGCGCATGCGTGCATTTAAGCACGTTCTCTAAGAATTTTGAAGAGTTAGTGTGCAGAGAATGGAAGGTCCGTTTTCTTCGTGTATGCAAAAAGGTTCGCGAGTATACTTTTGTCAGACTAAGATACTGTATTACCAAATACAATATGAAAAAATTAGCCTTAAGTTTCAAGCATGGACACTAAGTTTTGGCATTTTGAGAAGTCTAATTTATCAGGCATGTTTGGAAGTCAAATTTACATATGTTTTGACTAATGTGCATACGGATATATTAAGAGCATGCGCAGACGTTTTTCACTCGTGCCGTGCTTATGTAGATATTTTCGGAGATGCGCAAGATCGCTGTCCGAAAGTATCGCGTGCTCCTCCAGTATCGAGACGGAGGAGCTCTGGAAACGAGACTGCATGTGCTCAGATTCGAAAACGAGGCTGCATTTTCGGGCAATATTTTAGGGGGGAAAACTTGGCTATTAGAAAAAATTTAAGTTATTTTACAGTAATATGATATGAAGGAACACTTCGAAGGTTCTTTTGGTTCAGTGGCAGAATTATGGATGATGACTATTTCGAAAAATATAGGTCAACATATAGATGAAATATAGAAATATACAGGACTTTCATTATTCTTTTCTTAAAATGAAGCCCACGACTCTGTTGAAGGGAACATCTTGTGATGAATGCCTTTGAGACACTTCTCTTCAGTGCCTGGCATCGCAGACAGAAGCTGGATGATGAGGATTACTGCAATAACAAGTGCAGTTAACATTCTCTTTGATTCGTCGATAACTGGGCTGGCTGTTAATAGCTTGATTGTTACAGTCAGAGCACTCACTCCACGACAAACTGAGTTTATGCCAGAGATGAAGTTTACAAATAAGTAGTATAGGGCATACCAGTCCTGATTCACCCGACCTAACCCCATGATTTCCTGAGTTAATCAAATTCGCGTAGTAATGAAATTCCAAAAACGTAGTAAAAGCTACGGCACCAAAAATGGTCCCCGAGGATTACAGGGGTCTCAAAAAGCGGGCAAAAAATATGCTAGATATATATGCACGAA